GATCAGTAAGAACAAAACCATTATTTTAGTTTATTTTTTTAATAAATTAATAATTGAAGGAATAGAAGGATTAAATATGACAATTAAAGAAGTAGAGCTAAATTTACGAGTATACATAGGACTTTTTAAAAAAGTACAGCAAAGCCGAGCAAACGTTCCATTAGGTTATTAAAGAAATACTTTGGCAAAAAATATTGGCTATAAACCAATGAGGTTATCAAATTGTATTTCAATTTGCATTATAATTTTATTGCATCTGTGTAACTTGGTTTGAATCCAATCTTGTAGTGATTGCCGACTCCAATTTCCTTCACCCTGATTAGGTTAGAAACTAACCGAATCCAGTCATAAAATGTGTACCCTGGTCAGTTGTTAAAAAAATTATTTCTTTTTATATAAAAAGAAACAACTGATGCAGAAAATAACCGAGAGTAATGTGTTTAAAATTTTAACAACTCAAACAAGAGAATGGATTAAGCAGTGATATAACTGTGCTTTCTTCTATAGACTGAATTTACTCGAACAACAGGATAGAGCAAAACTTCTTCATTCTACTTAAAACTTGTTTGTGTTGACAATTAAATGAATTTTGAATTATAACCGAAACTGTTTAGCTTTGAATAAAGCTCTGGTGGCTTAGAGTACCGTATGGATTTTTTTGAGGTTGTCCTATTATCTTCTCAGGCATTAAATAGCTCCAAAACGCTTTTCATTGTTTTAAAATGTAAATGGCCCTTGAATATTCCGGATTAAAACATTACACTTTTAAATGATTACGAGCATTTGTAGTCAAGAGGAGTAATTGTTGATTTAATGAAATTCTTAAGCGCCATAAACACATTTAAATTTCAGTTTAAAACAGTATTTAGCGAATGCAAGTCATATGGAAAATGATCAAACTTAAATCAACCATCGTGTCGAGTTCAAGTTTTCATTTATATTTCTTCAGGGTGTCTGTTTTATTCTTGAGGAGATGCGAATATGTGTGAAACGAGAGAAGTCGAAAGATTGTGACAGATATATCAATAAGTATGAATTTTTTATTAGAACCTTTGGGGGTAGAAGAAAACGCAAATTGCAAACACTTTATTTTGCTATATGATTAATGCAAGTGAATCGGGGTTTCGGAATTAATGGAAAATTATTTTCTTCTGTTTTTGAACGCTGTGTCAAAGTGAACCAGAACAAATTTGGATTTTAATTGATAGAAATGCAAATGCATTTGTGGCGAAAATAGACACAAAGTGCACTATTGTGTAGGTGTTATATTTTAAGTTTTTAATTGAATGAAATTGCTTTAAAGGCAAATTTTAGTGTGGGAATTCAAACTAAATTGTATTGCTTTTTTCTCTAGCACAGATATAAAACTCTTTTGAATTTCAACAAATATGTAGGTAACAGCTGAATATTTTAAACTTCGTAGTTGTGGTGTTTAATTTTAGTCCGAAATAAAGGTAGTTTTACTTGCAAAAATTGTGTAATTGTAATGGAAACACAAATTGTAGTTTGCACGTAAGAGCTTAGTAATTTGGACAATAGCAATCCTTTTATAAATAATGCAAAATATTGGCAACAGCGAGCCAAAATTACGATGTTCGTGCTAGATTCAAGTTATAAATTTGCATAATTCATAAAAATAAATAAACGAAATAATTGAACCGATTAGAAAAGAGTTTTTAACCGTTCGTGCATTGTCGTACATTGTTGCAAGTAAGTAGAGGAGATCCGGGAAAGTCGAATCTGGACAAACAAATCACTTATACTCAACCCCGTAAAACTCTTTATGTATTTTTTACACCCAATAAATTTTTATACACCCACCTACGATTTTAAGAGGGCCATTATGATTGTGTTGTAAAAGGTTTTATTGGAAGGAATAGAAGCACGTGAATTTTCTCCGACACCGAAAGCTTCTTTTTAAGCATCCCGATTTTTTCAGTGCATCATCGTAAGCTTCTTTGGGAGCAAAATAAAAATAAATTAAAACTCTCAAACGTTTTTTCTTCAGACATTTTCCATTAAGCACAAGAAATCCACTTTAAAAAATATGAACTTAACCTCTTAATAGCGCTGTCACTGCCTGCACTTGGATCAGTATTCTAGCAAGGAAATTGCACCTGAACATGGTCTCATATCCGCAAGTGTCAATAGAAAATTGGAGGGTTCGAACGGCTACTTGTGAATGCAAGTAATGGTTTCGAGGAAGAAAGAGGATCATACTATCAAACAAAGCTCTTACGGTCCTAACCCAACATCATTTGTCACTTTTGCACCAGTTTATCAGACTCCACTTCTAACCACTGATAAAATATGAAACATCGCACCGGCATATAGTGGCTGTCGCTCAATCTTAAATAAAATTGGAACAGTGCGAAAGGCGGAAATAGGTCAGAACTGAAATATTGATTGTTTCTTTTTTATTTAGCAACGTCTGACGAGCGCTCATTACAAAAAGCGAAATGGGTTCTAGATGGACGTATGAGTTTTATTTGCTTCAAAAAGAACTTCTCTTGCAATGTAATCAAAGTAATTACAAAATAGATATTTTTCTGAAAATATTACATAATGTAAAGAGTCAAATTTCAAGTGTAAACAATGGATGAAAGATAGGTCGTTTGGAGATTAAACGTAGTAGTTGAAAATATTTTTAGTTTCCAGTTAAAACTGTTAATAAAAAAATTTCGATGGCGATTGACCGCTTAGTCAATTTTAAGATTTCCTCATTTCAGGTAAATCCTATTTTGTGTACTCAAAAGTTTAAGCCGCGCCTGACTGAATATGAAAAACAAATTCAAAGTGAGATTTGTGTAATAAGGAAGTTGGGAACGAACATTCATACAATTTTTGCAAAAATGCTAAATAAAAAATAATTTTAGCATAAAAATGAGAAAAGTTACAATAAAGCATTAAGTTACCGAGGATTCTTCTAATAAAACTTGTAACCTACTTAGTAACTACTTACTGTCATTTGGATGCAAAGAGGAAGGGAGAATATTAAATTACAGTATAAATTTGAATTCATTTAAAATTACTTAGATTTCTTTTATTACTTTTGGCTTAAAAGCTTTTCGCTCCGAAGTGGAGTTTTTAAAAACCAATATCTGGCTTACAAAAGAAAATATTAAATTATTTCCAATTTATATTTCGATAAAGGGGAGATCCGCTTGTAATCATCCCGTCCAGACATTTCAAAGTATTTCTCACAGGAATCTAAATTTGCATTGATAAAAAATCCAAACCGTATTACCATTATCGGAATAAAAGTCCAAGGTCGGAAGTCTTTGTTGTTGAATTTATGAATAATGTACTAAAAATCACGATTTCTAAAACAAACCCCTGCATCAGTCACTGCACCACATAGAGTGGACGCTCATTAGTCCTCCTGCAGGACATAAAACGTTAAGCTGACACCAGGATTTCACGATGCAACATATAAGCTTTGCAGTAGATCAATGCAAGGGTTCTAAAATTGGTATTACAACTGAGCAACTTGGGTATGAAGTCAAGACTAGCTGTCACTGTAATAAATTTAATTTACAGACATCTCATTTAATTAAGTGATTGGTGAAGTGACTGAGCTCTTGACGACTACGGTCGTCCAACTTGTGATTAATTTCAAGAGTAGTGAAGACAAAGATGAACATAACTGCAATTACATCTTCTTTAAAATCCCGGTTCTTTATAAAATAATTTTTTTATAATATTGTTGTGCAAAGTATTAGCCTCGTGTTAAATAGATTATAATCTACATTTCAAATTCTTCTTAAATGACTGCTTTTCAAATAATTTTATTTTGAAGCGTGCAGCTGAAACCATTAAAATCCTTTGGTAAAACTTGATAAATTTTATTCGTCTAAAAAAACGAGCTTTGTACCAAAGCTTCTATCAGTGTACTACTTTATTTAGCACAGTTCAAAGCAAAACCTTCCCAAATAACAAGTTTCCACAAATGTGTAAGAAGCTTTCAACAAACTTTCGTTGTATAAATGATAGAAAAACAGAGAACCTTATTTAACCTTTGACAGTACGTTTCTATCATGTTAAGCATTAGTACTGGAGTGAAAATAGAAATGTATCACTCGTTTTTTATGTCAAATCGACAAATCTGTAATCTGTCTAAAGCTTTCCTTAAAGCTTTCTTGCAAATATTAAAAAAGCGTCCTTGGTATTTTTTTAACATAACTTTGTTTTAGTGTTTAGAGTGTCATCAATATTGATTCGTTGCTTGGTTTTATACCCACATTAACTTTATCACAATTTGTCATACAAATTACAAGCAAGCCTGGGTTGTATTTCGTAGTTTGTACAAGCTATTAGGCAAAATAATCTTTAAGCAAATACAAAGCCGAGGCTTGTGTTCGACACAAAAAGTATTTCCCGACATGCGAGGCAATTATACGAAGTAAGTTATTGTTCCGTTAGTTAAAAACCTCGCGATAAACTGATGAATGACTGACACGGCGTGGAAATAACGACCAGAAAATAAAAATAAAAATTGTTATTATTTCGAAATTACTGTTTTGGTAGACTGATTAAATCGTCCATTGTCGAGCAAGCCGCGCAACAAAGATAAATTATCCAATTTCTATGCGTAAATCTCCCGAATTAAAATGCAGGTTAAGGGATCTATTAAACATCTCGAAAAATAAACTGGATCCCTGCTTGAACTACTAATGCCGAAATTTCGGGCCCGCCATCTCGCCCCCAATTAATAGGCTAAATCTTCTTTATATACGAAACACGTTCTCGGTTTATTATTTCTAAACATAGTCAGAAACGACGTTAAATGAAGCAAAAGCTCCTCTTCGCCGATTTTCGGAAACTCTAGTTCAAATGGAAAAGTTAGCTCAAGCCGAGTTTATTTTTAATGCATACGCAGACTGGAATTGTGCAACAAATTCACCCAACTCGCAAACACCAAACTTTATAACTTCGACTGATCAGTTTTCGGTTCAATTGCAACGCGTAATCTTTCGAAAAATATCTAGATTGCTACTTACTTCGAGTTTTATTTCTTGTTCATTTAAGACGAAAATGCGACGATTGCCTTTGCCATTTTCTCAAATTGGTGTGGCTCGGGATTGTCCTGAAACAAATTAATTTGAGTTATTAAATTTCTGTTTGTAACTGTCAGCGACGAAAATGTTTAGTAATCAATTTAAGACTGAGAGGACGAATTGGTAATTAGTCTTGGCTTAGTAGCATTTATAAACTGGCCGAATTTTAATCTAAACTTATACTTTGTTTACTCATTGAACGCTTAAAAGATTATTGAAAACTGTCGGTTGCAGTGAAAAGTGGGTTAAACGGAAAAAAGTAACTTTTGCGTTATCAAAGCGCGGAAATTTTCATTATCTCAGAATGTTCTTGAAACATAATGGAAAAGTGAAATTTCATTAACATGAGAAGCAGCAATATATTTTTTACTCAATATCAAATTAGCCAACAAAGAATGAAATTTTTTTCCTTCACAAAGTAATTTAATAAAGTCATTCAAATCGAGGCTCGTAACGTCATTTAAACACAATAATGCCATTAATTATTCGGAATTAGATTCTAGGTTTCATCAAAAATTGTGCAACGAATGCAACCCATAATTCAGCTGTTACCTCTGATTGACTGACTCTCTCATTAAGCCCCTCGTCAGTCTCATTATGAATACCAAAATTATCACGAATCGGCAAAAGTTCCCAGGGAAATTGACACTAGGACGCTATTAAACCTAACGGTTAGCTATTTAATAGGAAACGAACTAAGAGAACCTGAAACACAGAAGGTGATTGTGTTTATCTTTCAAGACTGACAAGTTCTAGGGCTTCGAAGACGAAGTGCCGCTTTCAGTCCGAAAAAGGGATAGTTGGCAGCTAGTTTAGTTTCATTCGCTTTCACCAGAAGAGTGGTCAAGTCATTAATTTCCTATGACGCTGCAAGAAATCCAACTCCAATAATTTATCAATTAATCACCGCACTCGTCTCACCGCCTTCTCGATTATTCCAGAAGGTTGAATTATGCACTTAGCCAGCTTTAACTTCTGACAGAAACCTCAAGAGATGCATACACTTTTAAAATAAGGTCCAATCGCTTGCTTTCTCATCCATTTTTTTTAAACTAGGCATAGTTTTCTCGTGTTTATTTTATGTAGTTGTAGGTAGATTTTACTTGAAAATTAGTTAGCGAAAAAAATGGTAGTCTTGTTACTCTTGTTATTTCTCAATGAGAAATTATAATGAAGGCAAAACATTCTTGGGTTTCCTCAATCTCGCAGGTAGTAATTAATCAGTTAAGCGGATTGCACGTTCTTGGGGTTTATTGGTACAAGGGTAGTGTAGCGTCACGTCTTTGAGGTTTGCGACAGGCGGAATGTTGTATGAAATCGTCGGAGTAGTAAATCTGGTTGAATGTTTGCTTTTTTTATTAGCTCTAAAACTGCGAGAGCGCGAAATGAAAGAAACGATTCTAATTAATCCATTTTTTGCAAGCTCAATTAGCACCGAATGACTTCGTTTTGCTAGTAATAACAATTAGTTCGATTAATTAAACCCGAATTAATTTTTGTTTGTTATCCGTGACACGACGGCAAAAACATCAAATTAAAAATCAAGCCCTGGAGATATGTCAACAGAATTATTGAAATGAGCCCCAAAATTAATTATATTTTTCCACGAGCGCGATCGATCCCCCGAACAATGTTGAAAAAATTGTAATATCGAAACTGACGATTAGAAAAAATGTGTCACGAAAATATTTACAGTGGTGACGACAGTATGATGAATAAATAGCACTCAAGAGTTATTAAAAGTTTTAATTTCGTTAATGACTAGATGGATCCGGCTAATTTTTAGTTAATTAATATTTCAGGACGCAATGAACCTATTTAGAATCTTTGTTAAGGCTTTAATGCACAAGTTCCAATTTCTTTCTCTTCCAATTTCCATGCCGAATGTTTACTTCACTTGTTATTCACAAAAACATTTACAAAGGGAAATGCAGTCGTACTGAATACAAATTTGATTTCATTTTCATAGAGATACAGATATGACCCTACTACACCAGTCTTCGAGAAAACAAATGTGTACCTGACTGTATGTTTTGTAGTTTTTTCTCAATAAAATATTCAAAAGTACATTTAAATTATTTCCGTGTTAGGTCGAATTCTCTTTCCTTTAAACGAATTCGAATCGCTATAGAAAAACACAAATGATCTTTTAAATGTCTCTCAGGGAGTGCAATTCTCTAAAGAAATATGTCTTTTTATATTACCTTATGCAGATTTCAACACTTTAAAACCACACCAACGCTCGGAAACTCCAAGCGACTTTAAATGATTTGGTTCAGATGCCAATTAAACCAGATTTCAATGTCACTTGTATATTTCTAATACGCCATAATACGCTCATCAACTACTTTTATAGATGTATGACTCATACCACATTAATGACAATAAACAATTTATTTTTAATTAAGTATTTTGACACAAATTTTAATTAACCGTTAAATAAGTTAAGCAGAATACTATATTAAAAAATAAGTTTCATAAGACAAGTCTTGAAGTACGAATTCAAGTTTAAAAACGAGTGGCGTAGCCACGAGTTATTTTAAGGAATGAGTGCGTCATGGTTTTATGAATCATGTTTTTTATAGTATTTTTTGCTCTTTGTCCTTTTTTACACAAAAAATTTAGACATTGCGCATGATGACGTCGCGTTCTTTAATAAAATCAAAATATTCAAACCGGAGGTAAATGTTAATGTCAGTGTTATTTCAAAATTGAAATAGAACAATGACAGTTTTTGAAAACTTTTTCATCACGAAGTCGATTACGATCATGTCAGTCTAATTCGAAACCTTTAGTTGTATTATTACCTCCCACCTACGTGTTAAATAAAAAAGCTTTACTACACGATACATCGCTTACAATTCGCAAGGCTCGAATTCCCTCCGGAAAGGCTTGAGTGTTCGAATTGGCAGGAACTATCCGTTATGTTTTGAACTTTACAACATAAATGGTAAATCTATGTTCGGCACTCAACCCATACTCCAATCATGTCTGAATTAGAAAGAACGTCGAAAAAGAGTCATTTAGTGTGATACGATGTAGCTGTGTTAATCAGCTGCCGTCCGTTATTACGTCCATCCTGTCGACAAAAACATAAAAGCTGCTTTTTTTGATTACGTAAACTTGAAAAGTTGTTGAAAACGTCAAACGTGTCCACTTTAAAACAATTATAAAGCGTCAATGCGCCACCAGAGGGCGATCGATAGGCTACAACACGCGACAGTTACCGTTTGTGATAACATCCGACATAGTTTACACCGTAAATTAGAGAATAATGAAGTGGGGTAAAGTAGTCGAGTAACGGTTATTTGTCTAGGAGGTCGATGGTACGTCTGCCCACCCTTTTATTACACAAAGTTACATTTCCGGTGAGAAAAGTGTAATTGTACACAATTTCAGCTCTGGGCAGGTATACAGTGTGAATCAAGTTGTACAGCCGGCAATATTTTGAGGTTTTAAAGTTGAACAATAAACTGTGAATTTTTGTGTCATTACACAGGGCGACAAAAAAAAAAGTCATGTGACTACTTGACAAATTTTATATAATTTTGTTCGTCTCAGTGAGACAAATCAAATGCACTAAAAAAAAATTCAAAAAGTCCACACACTTTGAACTAAATATTTTTTTTATTAATAATAAATAATAATTTTTTAAATGAATTTAAAATACTTTAACTTTAAAAAATCATTACTCAATAACTATTAGGCCGATTTCCTTCAAACAAAGACCATCCTAAAGGGATGGACTTGTCCTTTGGAAAGATATGCAATTTGAAATTGAATATTGGCAAACTTTTCTACGAACAGTGTTCAAAGAAGTTCGAAGTAAATCGAAGTAATGTAAGGAAAACCCTACGAGTAAATTTTTTTCTTCGTCATCATTGTGTAGAGCATCTCTTTATTAGTTGTAATCGAAATTTTCAAAAAAATATACCGAGTAGTTTTCAAGATATGATTTTTTGAAGTTATGGTTTGATAATCAAGCATTACTCCATATAGGAGAAATGCATGTTAATCTTACTTAAAATTGCATTTTTATAACAGTATCTGTTTTTTGACTCTTCTTTTGCTTAAAAATGGTTAATTGCACCTTCTTTGTTCTAATTAGAATAAACAAAACTGTTTACTTAAAACAAATAAATAGTACCTGCATAGTTTTTTTGTTGTAAAAATAACCACTGATCATTGAGCAAAGAGGATCTAGAAGTTTGATGCAGTAGCTTTAACTATAAGAACAATTTTTTTTTTCAAATTAAATCACTTTCCATTCAGATTCCAACTTGTTCACTTTGTTCTAGCTTTCTGAACTTTTTTTTGAAAATGTGCTCAGCAAATGCTTTCTCATCACTTTCTACTGATGTTGAATGCAATAAGTCAGTTGCTTCGTGTGCAACTGTTATCACAACAACTACTACCTACAAACTAACTGAAGCTAATCGTAGAATAAACCAACAAAATAAATCAGGTGACTTAGTGCATTTGATATCACTCGAAAATAATGAGAAAGCATTTGCTCAGAACATTTTCAAAAAAAGTTTAGAAAGCTAGAACAAAGTGAACAAATCGAAATCTGAATGGAAAGTGATTTGATTTGAAAAAAAAGATTTGCCCTTCTATTTAAGGCTGTTGCCTTAAACTTCTAGATCCTCTTTGCTCAATGATCAGTGGTCATTTTTACAACAAAAAACTCTTTATTTGCTTTAATTAGTACGCAGGTACTATTTATTTGTTTTAAGTAAACAAACAGTTTTTGTTTATTCTAATTAGAACAAAGAAGGTCCAATTAACCATTTTTAAGCAAAAGAAGAGTCATAAAACAAATACTTTTATAAAAATGCAATTTAATATTTAATTTAGTAAGATTAACATGCATTTCTCCAGTATGGAGCAATGCTTGATTAGCAAACCTTAACTTCAAAAAATCATATCTTGAAAACTACTCGGTATATTCTTTTGAAAATTTGGATTACAACTAATAAAGAGATGCTCTACACGATGATGACGAAGAAAAAAAAAATACTCGTAGGGT